GAGCCAAGAAAGTTGCAAAACTAAATGCCTTTTCTATTTCTTCTTTCTTGCTTGCTAAGACTGGCATTTAAAACAAATTAAACACAACTGATGACAATATATCATGCAGAAAAATCCCTGAGAGCTGAGAAGTCATATTTTCTCATGCCTGATTATCTCCCCTCTGCTCTGCCTACTTTCTACTGCAACACTGACTGAACATAGACTTCACCCTCAGCTACTTGATCTCACTGAATGACAAAATAGTGGGAGTGACCTAGCTATCCTGGCTCCTTGGCAGTTACAAGGAATTGTTTTCAGTTTTTACATCTGTGATCAACTTTTATTTTATTTTCTCATAATTGCAGAGTGATTTTTCATGACTGTTATAGTGACATCACTATGGTGTACTTTAGTGTCTGTATCTTTAGCCCCATAGCAACTTTTTCTGTTCAGGAGGCAAAGATTTACTTAGGTTGTAAGTAATTCCCAATTCCCTCCTCTGCTAACACTTTGTGGTGTGAAACATATGACACCATAACATGCATCACAGAGGTATCCATAACAGTGGATGTGCAAGCATTGTGACTTAGTTCTCTTTTTTAGATAGAGACTGCAGTGATCCTTCATAAGGCTCAGATGAAAGACACTGGTCTACTGGGTGAGTGAGCCACTGGTCTACTATGAGTGGGTGAGTAGTCTACACAACACAACCCTAACTTGTTTTGTCTCTGTTAAGGAGAGCTGATCAGAGTGGTCGATACCTGCAAATAATAATGGTGTCAGGAAATTTGGGATGTTTAATCCAGCTAGAACTGATTTGGTGCTTAGAAGATATATAGTACAGACTCAGTGAAAATCTGGCCTGCATGACATATCTAGACCTGAATTTATGGTTGTAGAAAGTGAGGGAAAAGGCACTAACTACCCTTGCAAAAGAGTTAAAGGATTTATTATGGGACAATGCTGCTCAAGATCTAGGTATTTTTACTACCATAATCATTTGAAATTATGAAGCTATAACTAGAATGTAAGATCATCAATGACAGCTGAGCAGAGCTTTAGTTAGGAAATAGTGTAAAGATCCAGGGTGACATTTTCTGTGTTTTATCAGCTCCCTTATTACCTATGCTATTTCTTGTGAGAACAAAACAAAATGGGAAAGAAGGAATCAAAGGCAAATGCTGCTCAGGAACTTTATGAATTTTCAGAAGGAGCAGCAAAGCTCCAGACAGTTGGGACCATTAGAAGACAATCTTCAGGCAAACTACAGGTACATGAAGAACATCAAACTCCACATAATGTTGTTTCCGTTAAAAAATAAAGTCTGATCTGACCTTACTATCAGAATTACTTTTTACAAGCTCAGATAGTAAGCAGAATATAAGAATGAAAGGGGGAAAAACTTCTTTCTCTCAGTCCATTTCTTGTTTGTTATTTATGAACCAGGATGCTTTGAGCAACTATTCCCACCTTCATAATGATTCTCTGTCACATTTCATTGTTTTACAAGAAGTTAGAGGCCATGTTTACTTCCACCCCAGGCTAGTGGTGTTTCTAAAAGCCCCAGTTTATCCAGGAGTCTGGACACCAAAGTTTTGGAAGAGAGATTCCTCAGTTCTTTCAGACTGGAGGCTGAATCCCTCTGATCTGAATCATCCTTCCCACAGGAGCCTTGGAAAGCCAGGCAAAAGCATTTCTCTGCTCAGGCTCAACATGTCCCATCACAGGGATTTGGAGATGTAGTTTCCTCCTCATCCTGAATAGCTCCGGATAGAATTTCTTAAAATGGTTTGAAGTGTGACTGTGCCATACCCTTGTGCCTGACAATTATGTTTGTTTAAGCAAGACCTCTGAGTTTGTAACAATGGAATTATCTATTTTTCAGGACAATTAACACAATGTTTTTGTACTAGCTGAAGGTCAGAGGATTAATATGGTTTTATCTACAGTGCATTTTTAAAAGCTAATTAATAATCATTCAGTTCATTTTGTACTAAAGACTGAGGACATTTCACATTAGATGACTTTTGCTCCTCTACAGCAACAGAAGACAAGGAGAGAGAGAAATGCAGTGAGAGAGGCACTGAGAAGGAGTGAAATGGTATGCAAATAAACAAATACATCACACAGATGCAGCTAATGGAGAGCAAGAAAAAACTATACTCTGGTAAATTGTTTCCTGGACAAAGGGGCTAATCTAAAGCATTAATCAGCAAAAATATTCAGCATTTGTTGGGGAATGATGAAGCACTTATTGCTAGAGGAAGAGAGGTGGAGAGGAAGTGCTGCTCTCAGGGCATTATTTTAGAGAAGTTTGCATCACCCACTGCTTATGAAGCATCCCCACCTCTCCATCATGTTTGCATCCAGCAGTCTAGTCTGTATATTGCACCAAGGAGATCGCTTGGGTAATAGGTCAGATGTGAGGCTTCCAAGAGGCTGTGCATGGAGGTGAGGAACAGGAGAGGGAACATGAATCAAGAGGGCATCTTCTGGCAGCAGCACCGCTTTCTGGCACAGGGATGGAAACAGGTGGTGTCAAGGAAGCAGCATGCTCCTTGGCTCTTGGGACATCAGTGTTTGGGGAGAGCAGAATGATAGAAAACAGAGATGTTCAGGGGTAACATAGTGGCTTGAAAACAATGGGAAGGAGTTTATTAGGATCACAAAAAAGGTCCAAGTGATGGAACACCTCTCCTAGGAGGACAGGCTGAGAGAGCTGGGGCTGTTCAGACGGGAGAAAAGAAGGCTACAAGGTGACCTGATAGCAGCCTTTCAGTATCTAAAGTGTGTGTAGGGGGGAGGGGGGGAAGAGGGGGTGTTAAAAATGAAGGGGGCAGACCCTATAGTAGAGTCTTTTCTGATGGGATAAGGTGAAAATATTTCAAACTAAAGGAGAGGAGATTTAGGCTGGATATAAGAAAGAAGTATTTTACAATAAGGGGTGGTGAGGCACTGGAACAAGTTGCTCAGAGACGGATGCCTCATCCCTGGAGACATTCGAGATCAGTCTGAACAGGGCTCTAAGCAACCTGATCTAGCTGTGGATGTCGTTTTCATTGCAGGGGAGTTGGACCACATGACCTTTAAGAGACCTTCCCGACTAAGGAGTCTATGATATTAATGCAGTGGCCACTGTACAGCCTTTTAATGGGAAAAGTTAACAATATGGGAAGCCTCTTCTACTCTCTTACTTGTGGATATTTATTGATGCTGCTGATTAAGCACTCTGAAATTTTTTCAGTGTCTGCCCAAAGCGCATAAATTCTATCAGACACGGAAGCATCTCCTTTCAAAACTGGGCTATGCACCACTATTCTGTTGATCAAATGTGGCAATTATTTCAGGCTTAAAACCTTTTAGGGATAACAATAGGTACTGCCAATCAAAGCTAGAAAATACACATGCATTCAAAGAGAAAACTGAATGAGGAATAAGAGCAACATGTGTAGCAAGAATATATTATGGATTACCATCCTCTTACACAAAGGCTAGTAAACTCTTTAAAATGCAGCAACCTACAGAGCTTATAAAAGGGACAGGAATGTGCGGAAGTCTTGGTTTGTCTAATCTGTGTCTTTTTAGCATTGGTCGGATGACTCATTGGATTTAGCAATAGCTTGTGAAGATGAGCATATTAATAACTTTGTGCTGCAGCTCTGGCATAAAATGTAATATTTTAAAATTCTGTATTCTCAAATGAAATACAAGCTTGGAACTAGAATAGAGTTAGGAGAGATATTTGAATTGTCAGCTTATTTTCTTTTAAAATATGTGCTTATACATTTAAAGGCTGAAAGGCTTTCCCTCCCTCAATGTTCCTCTTCCTACTATAGTAGGTTGAATTGTACTTAAATATGGGGCTGCCTGTACAGTACTTTATGGTATCCAGAGTTGTCCTCTGTATTTTTATTTTATGGAGCATAAATTAACATTGAACGGGGAAACATATGTAGATCATACATGACAAAATGGCAAATACGTGCATATTCAGATTTGCATATGTAATCTACAGCATTAGTAAAGAATGGGATATGTGTCATTTTGCCTTTTGATAAAGTTCAACAGATTTAAATAATTAGGTAACATAACACAAGCCTTACTTTGAGGATGTAGCAACTAAAGTCCTAAATCTTTCAGTCTTAATTTCAACCTTTTTCCAGAATTACTCTAGTCTACAGAAGGACTCATTTGTGCTCTGTATGACCTGCAGATTATGTAGAATATATTTAGCAAACTAGAAAGCAGAACCAGTGTCTTTAGGTGTTAAGACGACCTAGGCCACTAGACTGACCCTTTCATTGCTGTATGATTTTAATGAGAACTGATTTTAATGAGACAGCTGTGTACCTTACTGGAGATATTTTTGCATTCGTATGTTAAATCTGCTCACAAAAGTACTGAAATAACAGGGAAGAAAACTTACAATTATCTTAGATCCAAAGGTTAATTTCCTGTCTGATTGAAATTTGAATCTTTCAATAATAAATACTATAAAACACCATGGATCGATTTAAGGACACTTACTAACTTCATTTTTAGTTTTAAAAATATGCATTTTGAGTGTGGATAAAGTCTAGGAAAAATAATTAAACTATTTTCTACTACAGTAAGTGATTTAATATGTAGATGTTACTATTTATTACTTAAAATGATTTGAACTTGTGAAAAAAATCATGCAAAATTCAATGCACCACGTTCAGTTTTTTCATGTCATGTACTCTTTTAAACTGCTTCTTCTTTTACTGATTTCAAGTACAAACTGAAAATTGTGCGTATAGTCTGTAGATATATATATGCACATATATAATATGCATAAAACACTATAGATATTTTATGTAATGTAAACACAGTAGTTAAAATACACTGTGATATATATATATACATATCTATTTCTAGCTTGGATTCTTAATTGATAATGAATTGTGAGCATCACTATCTCAAAAGAGTTAAAACTGAAAGTGCTCAAACTAACCGGTCAGAATCTATTGCAGAGAAAGGAGACTTCATCTTCTTACCTGCTTTTTTAATTTCAGGGGTGGCTGTTTTCTCTTGTGCTTTCTCTTTTTTCCCTTCTTTTTCTAAGATTTAATCAAAGAAAGTCATTTGATAAGTTATAACACTGAATCATACACTCAAATATGCATTCATCTAAGCCCTGGTGAGCACATTCTGAAAAAAAGTACTTTATCTGGGAGTTTAACTCAGACTATTCCCTTATAGCACTTGCACCTGACTAGCTACAGAGCAATCAGCTGAAAATGAAAATTAATCAGCATGCATCAACTATGAATGATTTTGACCCTCAATAATTCATCAAAGGCTAGACGAAAATCATCAGTGCATGAACATAGTACCTTTTAGCTTAAGTTCCAGTAGCAGTGAAATCATTAATAAATAATAAATGACATAAATATTTTTTCCATCAAAGAAAACTCCTAATGGATTTTAGATGCTTCCTGAGAATGAATAATCCAAAGTGTTATTTAGGTGAATATTAAGGCTTTGCAGTTTGGTCACTGTAATTTTTGTTTGTGATTCTGTTAAAAAAAATCAAATCAACAAATCCCACTATCATATATTTGTACACAGTAATCTAAGTGATATACTGAGTTTAGTATATGGCAGTACCGATGTGTACAGTTATTTATAAGGTCTCCCTTAAATTGCCTAACAAGCCCATATATGGCCACCAATCATGATTTTTTTATTTTTTCAGGAAAAGAGTTCAGAAAATATCAGTCATTAAACTCATCAGATACTGAAGAAGAAGCAGTAACATGCAAATGTTGATTAAGGAAATAAAGGAAAGGAATACAGAGCCAGAACCATAGGACTAGCCTAATCAAAATCAGCAAGATTTGATTCAGGAGTGGGAATAAAAGCTGAATGAAGTCAACAAGAAACATTAACAAATCATACCTTTCTTCTTAGTTTCAGAGGTAGTCCTCCTTACATCCATCACTTTCTTTTCCTCCTTTCTCTCTAAATATGGAAAGAAAAGGTTGACTATTTTCATACATATGTATGCATGTTTGTGTATATATATACATATATAAGTATATGTATATAATCTGGCATGAAAATCCTTAAATTACTGTAAAAGGTACTAAATTTGATAAGCTAGCCACTTATTTAGGAGTTTAACATCAGCATCTTAGAAATACATCTTGCTTCTAAGAGAGTATATTTGAAGTTAAGGATAGAACTGGAATTAGTGCATACATCAGATACTTACTACAGTAAATACTAATTTAAGAAATCATGCTCATTATCCTGGTAGGAGTTTATTATGGTGATTCAGTAGCCATGCACCTGTGCTGCCCAAGTGTTTCTTTAAGAAATCTAACTTAGTGGCAGCAAAACATAAATGATACTCAGGAATGGATGCATAATGCCATGAAAAGCCTGCCTAAGTAATATACCTTTATAACTCTTTTAATGAATTGAACCTTTGAAACTGTCTTAGGACTTTATGGAGAACTGCAGTTAACAGATTACCTACAAATAAAACAATTCATTCTTATACATCATCTGCCTCAATTTTTTTGAAGAATTGGACAGAGGCAGAAATAAGGATAATGTCTTTGCCTTTTTTTACAAAAAGCTATGACAATTTAATTACTTATTCCATGAACGTTATTAATTAGAAAATTGTGATTTCAGCAGGGTAAATCAGGAAGTTATGATTCTTATTTTTAATTCCAGGAAATGAATCCTCATTTAAATGGGGAAGAATACAAGAGTGTTAGAATAGCTAACTTAAATCCTTTTATTTTTTAACTCTTCATTTACATAGAAAAAGGAAAATTTATCATCTTCAGGTTGTGCTGCACGGCTTAGGATGTTGATTAAATTAATGGAACTACTTTTATTTTGTGATACTTTACTTTATGAATGTGGATAAGAAAGCAAGCTTTATCACCATAAAAAATGGCACAAACACAGGAGCAGAGGTCTGTAAGTCTTTTTTTGAAAATTATTCAAGGGGTAGGCATATTTCCTGAAGCCAGAAGATCCAAGAAGCAATTATACTATCATCCCTTGCATAAATTAACATGAAGATAAAGGAACTTACTTTTCATTTCCCCAGCTACCACAATAGAATTTTATTCTTTGTGAAAAAATATGTACAAACAGGGAATGAAAAAAATTAATTAACACGCTGCACAGTGTGCTTCCTATGCCAAAATGAGGGTATGCTTGATAGGAAAAAACGATATTTTCATAGAGTACATGAATTTCACAATATGCCCATGATTTTTTCATAAACAGTTATTTTGCCTACCATGGAGTGGTTTCACCAATATCCAGGTTCTCCTCTAACCATACTTCCGCTGAATTTCTGACAGCAATGTTTATATTAAGGTTAATATTACCGCGTTTCGTTTCTTTCTTGTTTGAAATGTGTTTTCTCAATGCATTTCTCTTGTCATTGTTGTGACAAAATGAAGCGGAAAATCATTGCATGCATTTTTCAGAATAGTTCTCCCCATATTTTGTGTTTAAATCTACTTGCTTAATTTGTGAGCCTACTGGACTTCAGGCTTCAGATTCCTTTGTGTCTTGAGTACACTTTATGGTACTCAGGTTTCTTGAGTACCTGCAGAGTGTTGGAAGATTCTTTTGTTTGGTATATTTTAATATTCTTGTTATTGTCTAGCTCTAAGTTTCCCTGAGTTTCTGTCTTACACTTTGAAACAGTGTTTCAGAAACCCCTGCTAGAGATCATGGACATCTGAAAAGAAAATTCTCTACAGCCTTAGATTACACAATGAACAGTGTAATAGCTTCACTTTCCTTGCTACAGATGGTTTTTAGTTTTTCCTTTCCACATGTAGTCAACTCTTTAATTTCTAATGCATAGTTTGTTTGCTAACTCCACCTGATTAAACTGAAAACTTTTAACATAGCAAGCCTGTCAGTTACTGTCAGAAAAAAAGCTTCCTTCCACCTTCTTTCTTCTAACCTTTACTCTTAGCAACCACGAATGAACTGCTACTGGTATTTCTGTGTTTTCTCTTCCATTTATTTTTTCCGACTCCCTCTGTTCTGGTGGAACAGCTGATTAATTGCTTTTGCTTCAACACATTCCAAGTTCCAGGTGGCACACAGGATGCACTGTAAGCCTTAAGTCTTCACAATCAAAAAACTCTTTTTAATCAGAGACCGTTTTTGTCTTTGTGCAGCATATCACAAGATTCTGGGGCTCACCTGTGTCACATAAAACCCACTCTGCATATCACAGAAATATTCAGAGTTAAATGTGTTCTGAGAGTCATGAATTGACGTGAAGCTTTGAGAAATAGAACTTTGAATAGTAGACTTACGGAGGGTAGCAAGGAGGAGGCTGCAATTAACTTAAAGAGCAAAGAGAATATATCCCTGGCTGCAGAGATTTTATTGCTAAATTCTTCCACCAATTAATTCAACTGATAGAATTTTCTAATACAAGACTCTTAAGTAACAATATTCAGAGTGCCCAGTGAGCCTAGTGGCATCTCTACCTGTTACAAATTTTCTAGAGGATGTTTACAGAGAGGTATAAAAGTACTGTGGCTCCCAATCACCACTAATGCTGCCCAATGTCATGCATAATCTTGGTCAAAATCTCAGGAAAAGCAGTTTCAGAATTTCCATCAAATTCTCAGTTGCATTTAGCCCCATTGATGCCCTTTACACTTATTGCTGACAAAACTTTACGTGAGATGATAAATTTGGTAGGTCTGTATTATATAAAGAATTATTTATGATTTAAGGAAGAAGTTCAATTTCTTGAATTTATTTCTCCTAAGCCTGAGTAGTTCAACTTTAGAATATGGCATATTAAGTGTATATTTAGCACCAGTAAAAATAACAATTTTTGAAACTGTAAATGCAGTGGTATTCCTCTGGATATGTGCACTAAATGGCAGAGCAAATAAATAAATAGGAAATTTGTCAAGTCTTCTGCACTATAAGTTATAAATTCCTGTGAAAGTGATTGAAAGTGATTTTTTGTTAAAAATACAAGTAGGAGGACTATACAGCTCTATGGATCAGTGACATAGAGGGATCATCATACGCATAAACAGTGGGTTATGTAAGAGAACACAAAATGTTTCTGATGATTCAAGATTGACTACTAGATGAATTCAATTGTCTTTTTAAATATCTGTTGTTATTATTACTGTTACTTTTAGCTGATAATGTAATCATCACTATATTTTTTTTCCCAACAGCAGCACTAGATGTGGCTGATATCTTTATGTGCAGGTGTAATAGGGATGCAGACATGAAGATCTCACTTTTAAAAGCCTGCAGTACTTTTTCAAGAGTGGGATATTAGCTGATGATAGAATACAAGGCAACAGGATCAATCAGGAAGTAGAGCAATGGACTTTGCATTTAGTCAATTTATTTCATAGAATCTATGTAAAATTGGAATTTAGTTTACGACAAGGAGGAAATTAATTAATATAAGATTCAATTAAAGCAGTTATATGTTTTGGAAATTTTTTTAATTGGGAAAAAAAAAAAAAAAAGAAATCCATATAATTTTCCTGAGACTGGGGGAATGTGAACAGTTCTAAAGAAGCACCTGAGATGGAATGCTTTGTTTCTAGGTAAATGATGAGGGACTGAGGGCATTGCTTGAAATCCAAGTGAAATTCAAAAGAGACCAAGAAAGAGGTGTTTCGGTCTGAATTACCTTTGACAGCTCTGAAAATGCCTTTGTGTTATTCACAAGGGATGTTAGCTAATGCTGGGCCAACGCTGGGACAGGAGATAAAAGAAACATGCTAACAATGCTCCACTTGAAAACAGGCATGGTAATACCAGCATGTTATTGTGGCAGAACTGAGGGGGTAATCTAAATTTAGGGATGCATGTGAGTTCTGAGGCATGATGTCATGGAAATGCTTTCCACGCCCTGAAAGAGGAAGGTGCTGTGAGAATTTCCTTTCTATTGTTCCAGGTGCTCCATGTGCTTAGGGGGACACTGACTTTGGAAGGACTTATCAACACATCCCATCCCCTCTGAGAGATGGAGGTAAGGAGAGCAGCAAAGTACAGACTCAGATACTTTCTTAAGGAGAGGCACGAGCATAAGAAAAACTAACTAGCTAAGTGAATGCCAGAAGTTCAGAGATGTTTTCATTTAGATAAGCCTTCTAAAGTTCAGATATTTATACAAGGCTTATCTGCATTTATCTAAAACCCTGTTGCCAGGAAATATTGGGAGAAAAGCTCTTGTGAGAGACTTTTGATATTGCCTGGCTTTGTGAAATACAACAGCTTTTCTTCCCTACTTATTCTCATCCTGACAGGAGCAAGAAACAGCGGAGGTGCATGCACACTCAAAAATATACAAAATAGAACAAAGAACAAGTTGATTTAATTTGCACTGTGAAACTATAATTCAGACTGGATACAGCAGGTAAAACTTAATTCCTCTTTTCTACAGATACGTCTGTACACCTTAATTACAGTCATAATTTTAAATTTCATTACAAAACCCCTATATTTTAATTTCCTTATTAGTTTTGAAGATATTACAGCTATTCTTCCTTTGTTTTAATTAGTACTGACAGCCTTTCTCTGCTGAACTCTATGAATGATTTGCCATTCATTTCTGTGGGATCTGAATTATATTTTAAATATTAAAATGACTCATTACCTTTCAGCTTTTGATAACACATTCTTCCCCTCTGTATTTTGCTTGGGGTGGAGAGTGTTAAGGACTAGTCAGAGATTTTTTGTATTAATATCACATGAATTCACATAGAAAGACACTTCTATGGTTGGAAACTCTTAGATCAAGAAAGCAAGGAAATACTTCTAATTAGTTTAGTATGTCACAGAAACTCCAAATGTTTCAATTCAATTTTAGTTTCATGTCAAATTTGACCTCAGCTATATCTAAAAAAAATCCCATACTTGGGTAAGATTGTCCACGTAGATGCAGTTATTTTATCCATGAGAAACAATTTTGTCTTGTTTTTGCCAAACTACGTGGCCAAAGTCAAGTAAAATCAAGTAAACCTAAACAGAATTAGCGCAGACTTCTTAGAATTGATTCTTCTCACACAAAAACACATATACTCACACATTCTCCTTAAAATACTGGTGAGTGCTTAGACTAAATTTATGTACATTTTCTTCCACATTCTCCTTCAAACTGCGTCTTTTCTTTTCAGCAGTCTAATGTGCTGCAATTTGTTCTCTTATTGAGCAGGTGAATGGGACACATAGGTCACTGGAGATATAGTACACTCTGATGTCCCAGGCAATCTCTACATCCTGTTTTTGCATTTTGATACCACTTCACTGTTTTCAAATCCCAGTTTGAAATAGTATTTAGTAGTTTTGAAGATTCCTTCATGGAGGTATTTTCAAGTTCTTCATAAAGTAAGCAATAATGATATCGTGATTGAAATTCACAGTGCTTTCATCTGACCCACGTAAGTGTTCTTCGTTTCTTCCTAGAGTGATTATAGGCTTCTCAGCTCTGTCAAGTTAAGCACCAAAACTATTTGCTAATAGAATGGGGCTATATGTTGCCCTCACTAAACAACATAGTGGGGGCAAAGAAGAATAGATACCAGTATAATGAAGCCATAAAATTCATGCCTAGGGAAAAAGATGGCATACCAACCTTCATGGCAAGACCTGCATTAAAATTCATCAATGACAAATGCAGTGTGAATATGATGACTAGATATTAACCAGATGAGGTTTAACAAAAGCAAGTGTAGAGTCTTGCATCTAGGCAGGAATAATTGCATGCACCTGTACAGGTTGGGAGATGAGCTGCTGGAGAGGAGCTCTACGGAAAGAAGGACCTGGGTGTCCTGGTGGACGACAGGTTGGCCATGAGCCAGCAGTGTGCCCTCGTGGCCAAGAGGGCCAATGGCATCCTGGGGTGCATTAAAAAGAGCGTGTCCAGCAGGTCGAGGGAGGTGATCCTCCCAGTCTACTCTGCCCTGGTAAGGCTTCATCTGGAGTACTGTGTCCAGTTCTGGGCTCCCCAGTACAAAAAAAGACAGGAATGTCTTGGAAAGAGTCCAGCGGAGGGCCACAAAGATGGTGAAGGGCCTGGAGCATCTCCCCCATGAAGAAAGGCTGAGTGAACTGGGTCTGTTCAGCCTTGAGAAAAGAAGACTGAGAAGAGACCTGATCCAGGTCTATAAATGCCTAAGGTGTGGGGAGCAGAGTGGTGAGGCCAGACCCTTTTCAGCAGTGTGTGGAGACAGGACAAGGGGAAATGGCCAGAAACTGCAGCATAGGAAGTTCCGCACAAATGTGCGCAAGAACTTCTTTACAGTGAGGTGACGGAGCACTGGAACAGGCTGCCCAGGGAGGTGGTGGAGTCTCCTTCTCTGGAGATGTTCAAGACCTGCCTGGATGCCTACCTGTGCGACCTGGTGTAGGGAACCTGCTTTGGCAGGGGGTTGGACTCAATGATCTCTGGAGGCCCCTTCCAACCCCTACGATTCTGTGACTGTGATTCTGTGATAGCAGTGAAGAATTAAATTCCTAAGGGAAGAGTGGCACATTAGGATACTATCTTCTTGGCAAGAGTCATACCAAGAAAGTTAAAGCAGCAGGGCTATCCTGTCCTCATGGCTGACACTCTTACTAGGCAATACGAATCAAGGATATCACCAACTGTGTTATTTATTTTGAGAAAAATTTTGATGATTATTTTTATGCATCATTCTTTTGAAGAAAAAAACCAAAAAAACCCAAAACATCTGAATTTTTAGGAACAAGGGATGATCAGGCAAAGTATGATCTGAATGCTTTGCCTCATTTTTCCAAAGCAGCAGTGAAACTTCTTCATTTGAAATCCCGGAGAATCTTGATCCAAGTAAGCTTTCTCCATTTGCAATTGCATCATAGGCAAAGAGTTATTACTTACCAGTAACACTTTAAAATACAAGTCTCTTAGATAATCTTCAGAATTATTTAGTCTTGTTTTATTGGGTACATTTTGATGAATATTTATTTTTAATTGTAAAATTAAATATTGTGAATTGGATAAATAATATTAAAGATGAGAAAATATAATAATTTATCCAATCAATATATATATATACCTTTATAATTTAATTCATTTTATATATTCTCATAAGCATTTATTATTCATTTCATTATTTTTTCTTATAGTAGAATAAAAGCAGTACATAAGAGCCTTGTCATTAAATAAAGTGTCAAGGGGTTTCTGTTTTCATCATAGATAAAGTATCTAGATTTTACTGTTTAAATGTCTAACCTAAATCATCAGATAAATCACTTTAAAACCTTGTTTAGATGATTTCATAGCTTTTACTGTCTTCAGTACAGACTCATGGAAATGTAAGGCATATATTTCTCAAAAAAAAAAAAGAAAAAGAAAAAGAAAAAGAAAAAAAAACAACCCACCCCAAACCTTTGTTTTTAAGCTGTATGTATAGTACCTTGTTTAAGATATCTGACCTGTTTTTTATAACAGGTTGGTTTAAAATCTAGCCCATTGCCTTATGATATTTCTGATAGAAACATTTTTCTTACTTGCTTTTATTTATCCCTAGATTAGAAAATTATCAGACAACTGACTGTTGCAAAAAAATATCAATATTATTAAAAATATTCAGAATTGGGATTAAAAAATCAAAATTTTGCATTGTTGAAAGGCTGTTAGTGTATCTTTCATTGGAATGATTATTTTAAAGGATAATTTATTTATAACAATGAAATATATTTTATAGAGCAATCTATGTACAGAACAGAAGGTCACTGATGGACAGAGGCAGATTGATTTGTATAAGATTTATGCACTTCTATACATCAAGGAAGCTTTGTCAAAATATTTGTGGGACTCAGTAATTTAGATGCTCTTGGATATACCTCCTAATGTATTCATGAGCTGAGATATAGACTAGAATTTCTTCCTAAGATAGTCGGGTAGTATATATTCTATGCAGATTTATATTTCAGTATGAGTTTAGCCTCTGCAAGAGTTGTGGAGGAAACTAAAGAAATTTATTTCACAGTAATTCAATTTACTGCATTCTTCAAAATTTGTAATTGAGGGATTCAAACAGTGATCTAGAGAAAGTTTTTTTTTTTGGTTACTATTCCTTCACAGATGTTGCAGAGATATAGGGCTTTCTTTCTTTCTTTCTTTCTTTCTTTCTTTCTTTCTTTCTTTCTTTCTTTCTTTCTTTCTTTCTTTCTTTCTTTCTTTCTTTCTTTCTTTCTTTCTTTCTTTCTTTCTTTCTTTCTTTCTTTCTTTCTTTCTTTCTTTCTTTCTTTCTTTCTTTCTTTCTTTCTTTCTTTCTTTCTTTCTTTCTTTCTTTCTTTCTTTCCTTCTTTCCTTCTTTCCTTCTTTCCTTCTTTCCTTCTTTCCTTCTTTCCTTCTTTCCTTCTTTCCTTCTTTCCTTCTTTCCTTCTTTCCTTCTTTCTTTCCTTCCTTCTTTCCTTCCTTCCTTCTTTCCTTCTTTCTTCTTCTACTTAGTGTATTATCACAAATAATAACAAGATGGCAAAGAGCAGTCAAAGGAAGGAGAAATTTTAGAACCTATCATGATCCATTAGCAGATCAGAACAATTATGTTAATCACTCTTCCGTAATGCTCTTCCATTCAAAGATGTGACCTTTTTAGAACAATATAGCCTGGAAAATCGCACTCACATACAATGATGTTCAAAGCATTTTTGTGATACAATGCTCTTCAAAGTACTTTTGTGCTACAAAGCATGCTATTGGAGATCACAGGGTAATGTGCATTAAGATGTCTTCCACTGAGAGGATTTAGATATAGCCTTCTCACAAAGGTACTCGTGAAAAAATGAAGACTTTTTTTTCTGTAACAGTTAATAAGAAATTTTGCTAATAATTAACCAAGCTTCTGAACATGGTTTTGGTATTAATTGTCTAACTGCAGCATCTTCCCTAGAAATTGCTCAGCCATGTCAGAGGACACAGCAGGATTGTCTTTCTCAGAGGCAATAAAGAAAGCTAAAAACTGTGATCTCGGAAAAAAACGTCAAGACCTGAGAAAGTAGATTCACAGAGAACCAACATTCATTGCAGAGCAGCCATAGGATGTCAGTGGATAACAAAACACAAGAAAGTCACCATTAAAAGAGGCAGAGAAGACAGTCACAGGAGATGCATATTAAACCCAGAAGTTCAGAGAGTCACAGAAAGCAGATTTGTTTAAGTAACAGTCAGTTCCAGTTTTCTCTCTAGATAGTAGCTTCACAGTGCTAGTTTGAGAGAAGTGGGAGTGAAGCTTCCAGAAGAAGTTAAGAGAAACGATTTTAAATGAGTTGTTCTATTTCATGGCTGGTAAGTAAAGGTTTGGAGACCTGGAATTCAAATAGAAGTTTGAATCCATGTCTTCATCTCCATAGATTCCCTTTTCCTCTTTCTCTTGCTTATTGCTTCTGGATATTTTTGTTACTTTGTTTTCCTTTGGTTTAGTTTTGTTTGCTTATACTTTTCTGTCTGTAACCTAAAACTTCAAAGCCTTTTTGAACTTTGAATGTAGGATCTCAAGATAGCAATGCTTTTTTAATAGAGCCTAAACACCATGAAGTAGGACAGTAATGATAGTTTTTTCCCTTCTGACTAAATGAGTACAAAGAATTTTACTTTCCTACTTGGATATAACTGAAAAGTTAAGTTCATATTTATGTACTTCAATGCTCTATATTTCATACTGTGAATACAGCATACAAGTTAAGATTTTCTTGTCAAAAAGTTTTCCTACAGAGATAAAGGGAGGTCAATGACAAGCAGAAAATGATTGAGATTTAAAACATAACAACAATGTGCTGATTGTCTAAGAGACCTCATGAATTCAGCAGAGCATGATTTCTACTTACTATTGAATATTAGCCAGGAAAGACTTTCTATTTTAAGATACTGGAATGCCTAGTAATATTAGAAATATCTGGTACATACTGCCATTATTTTCACTTTATCAGAAATCAAGAATTGTCCAAGATTATTTAAGAAGACAGGTGCAAAACAGAGCAGTAATGAAAACATCTCCATCTAGAAAAAAAGAATCAAATCTTTTCAACTTTTACCAGCTGCATACTTTTGTATTTACCCTCTGTTGCTGAACTGGAAAGCATAGGGTCTAAATAGATTATTTTTTTCTGTGACAATTATTCTCTTATTTCCAACAATTCTACCTTTTCTTCAGGGTTTGCCAAAGTCCTTTCCTAGATTACATTTCTCAATTAATTAATGATTGTACTTGTTCACTATCCTGAGAAGTTATCATACTTCAGAATAAAAACCAGTCCTTTCAGTAATATCTAGGGATGTACTGCTCAAAAAGGCACAATAAACATTAAAAAGAACCAGATAGACATCCCCTTGACCATTCTAGGAATTCAGACATTTTCTGATATTGTATCAAATTTTCTTATAAATTACTTATTATTTTCCCAAGATCTGAAATAAAACCTCAGAGTTTAAGGCACCTGAAGCATGGAAATATATATTTGTTTGTTTCTCATATATATATATATATATATATATATAAAACACAGTACTACATTATAATAATTTTTAACATCAACATTTTACAAGTTATTTTTCCTTTTTTCTTTATTCCAAAAATCTTGCATGGATATTGTATCCTAGTGATAGGCTTTAGCCTTGAAGAGAATTTAGTTGAATGATTCTGAGCAGAAAATCTGCCCCCCAGTTTGTTTGCCAAATGAGTATCTAATTTACATTCACAATTAACTCAATTGCACGCATAAATGAGCTAATGAAACACAGAAATGTTTAAATGGTCATAAATACTCATTTCCATGCGCAATTGCAGTAATTGCATGCGCCTCATGATTTTGAAAATCAAGAACTTCACGCTAATTTGATGCTAGTTTATGTTGTGCAACAGTTATATTTAAGATTAAGTTTGTCACTCAACAAATGCAGCCATCTTTTTCTCCTATGAGCTTTTCTGCTTTTTTCTTTTTCTTTTTCTTCTTCTTTTTTTTTTTTTCCCCATTATGGCGAATTGGTGGATAACAGTGTTTAACATGGACTTCTTTTTGCTGACAAGCAGGGTTTAAACATTTGCCTCAAACTGGCAAAACTACTAACCTATCTATATACGGTGCTGTGTCTCTGTAAATACTGATTTATACTCCTTCACACAGTGTATCTATTAAGAAATAGCATGGTGTATTGTGTATTATTTTTTCGTGAGGTAATATGGAAAAAAAGATACAAAGTCATTTAGTTGCTCTTATCCAAACATTCTGATTCACAGTAATCACATTAGAGAAATATGAAATTAATTTAAGTCTTTGTTTCAATCACAGGTTTTGCTAAAAGCTCTCTCTCATTTTCCATTTACAAATGCAGGCAAATCTAGCATCTTGTTAATTAGGCTGCTACTATCCCTTTGTTTTGTTTTGTTTTGTTTTGTTTGTTTGTTTGTTTGTTTGTTTTAACTGCAATTTATTTCTGAATAGATTAAAACTAAGGCCTCTACTAGCAAATCCCATGGTGTGACTGACTTCCCTATATGAAATCTGCTAAATAATTACATAAGAAGACTAACATATTTTGATGTAGAGACCAAGAATGCATGTTGCATTAAGTCATCATACATAGTCCATTTTAAAATCTAAAGGCTTATTTCAAGAATCTCATTGATATGATTATACTGTAAGCAACATAATTCAATTGAAGTGTTAATCTTCTGAAAGTAAGATCTAACTTTATACGTGCATATTATTTTTCGGTGGTTTTAACAATTGGGATAAATATACAGCCAGAAATATGATCTTCATTACTGTAGAAAATACACAGAAAAAATGTCTGAATAATAATAGCTCAAAGATTAATCAAGGCAAATTAAGAGGATAATGCTAGTTGTTTTTTATAGTTAGATGGCAACATATAGTTGGACACCATCCAAGGTATTTTAGAGATTGGGCTTTGGTTTGAAATCTATTTCATGCAGGCAATCCCCCGAGCCATCTGTGGGACTACTGAAAGTAATTTTTAGGTCTTGCAATGCAAACATGTTTATATTCATTCATTCCCTAGGCCTAGAAACTCGAAGGTTTTGTGTTATCAGTTATATTTATAAAAATATTAGTAATCCATTAGAACATCAAGTTAAAACATAGAAATCTACAAAGGAGAAAAAAAAAAAAAAAAAGGACAAACTTGCCTTCAATAGCTGCTGGTTTCTTTCTTGGACTATGCTCTAGAAGAAGATGAGGTGATACCATTTCCTTGTGTCCTGCACATGAATATACAGGTTAAGAAACATGGAAAATACATTAACTAAAAATCTGAGCAAGGAAGATGATTTCCCTTCAGAATTGCTCATGTATAAAATATTACATTTCATACATATCTGTTATCTTCCACACACCATAGGAATAAAACGTATTTCTAAAAAACTATAGTGATTTAACTTTAAGGGATGCATTTTAAATCAATAAAGACCAAGTGACTCAAGCATGTGCTGAAATGCTTACAGGTCCATTTTTCTTCATGAGATTAAAAACCTCAGAAGAATAATACTATAATAATAACGTTACATATTCATGATGTCTGATCTACGGTAAAAGCATATTTTCTTCTGGCAGGCAAATGATCTTCATTTTTCCTTCTAGTCCACTTATTACAAATGTCTAGAAACTCTGCTAAAAAATATTATGCTTCCCATCCTTATGTACTGCTTTTAATTATCCAACACCAAACAGGTTGTACATTTGTAAATACTGCTTAACTTCTGATTCCCACTGCCAAGCGAAATACCTCAACTCTCTTGGAGTTATGAACTGTACTTTCTCATAGATTCAAATTTGGCTTCTTTGTATTAACCAGATGCCCAGTATTCACTTTGTTTCTTCAAGTATTAATAAACACAAATTTATTTTCTAGTTTATAATGTCAATTTGAGGTTTCCTGATTTTCTTCTGTTTATTTTTTTAATATCTGGCATTTATTTTTATTCACTATTATGTCATTGTCACTTGGACAGCAGTTTCTTGAGTATCCTGTGAAATACATGTATTAGTGGAATACAATACAAATACAGTCATATGCACCAGCACACACTGCGCAAGAGCACACATGCAATCAGGCTGTTAGATTTCAGATTCAGCTCCTCAGCAAAAACTCAGATGCATGCCTTGTGCTTGGTGGTAGACTCAGAAGAGAAATAAAGATTGAAACGAGCCTTGGAAATTGGAGTATCGTACTTACCCTTCTCATTTACAAAGGCATTTATACTCATGGGAATGCATGAGAAAAACATCATCTTGAAGGTAGCAGTGGGATTTGAACACCATGAGAAAAACATCATCTTGAAGGCAGCAGTGAAATTTAAGCACCATAGTCTCAAAGTTTTTGTATCTCATCAGTGTACATATGATTGCAGGCAAATAATTTGCAATCTTAGTTTACGTGCTAGATTATATAAAATATCACACATGGAGTTACTCAAACTAGACTTATATGCCCGAGCCACTGATAAAATTAATGTACTTAAGGCACTACACAACAACTGGTAAAAATCTCAGGTTTTAGTCGTATTTCCTGTCTTGTCAGAAGTCACAACTGAATATTGATTTCATCACAGAATGTCACTAGCCTCATGTGACTGAAATGAGCAGTAGGCAAACTTCAGGAATTCAGATGTCTAGCCATAATTTTCCACTTTCTGATTCAAAAAAACATCTTGCAATTGCTAACTGAGCTAACAAGATGCTGAGTAGCATTTATTTCCAGTGGGAACAGAAATATTACATCTATAACCTCTGTCAATGTACAGAAACTCCACTAACTGTTAATTCAGTCTGAACATCCTAGTTCAGAAGGAAAACTAAAACAGTGTAAATTTTAATGAAGAATGAGCAAATAATATTATTCTTTCTGCTAGTTTTGATTATTGGCTTGGACAGTTGTTAGATATTTGTTTTTATTTTATGTTTAATTTGTTTGTATTTATTCTAGATCACTATACTAGATGGACAAAAATGATAAATTTTACAATTTACATCAATTGCCTTGTATTAAAAATAATAAAGTACAGTGCCTCAAAATGTTGAGTAGGTAAGTAGTAAGAAAAGGTAGCCAATAATTTGGATTTCAGAGTGGTATCTACTGTGTGGAGCACTGACCTAACACTTTTAGGTCAAAGTATAGGATGGCCCTATTATTTTCCTGTTCTTTGCTGCTGCAGCAGTTTGCTAATGATTGCACCAGTGCTAGTTAGTATAATGCCAGTGCAATACCACTTATTGCTAATGACTTGTCAAATTCTATTTTACAGTTTTACAAGTTTTAAGCAAATCACTTATTTCATGCAAATTGATCACATGATCCAAGAGTGTTTTAAGCACCAAAATTTTAAGATTCACAGATCAAAAACTTTCCCTTAGGCCAGAATGTTTGTTCTGAACAGGTTCCCATCCACTCTGATAAAAAGCCTCTTTAATGTTTCCATGTGTTATTAAATGTATCTCTATTCACTTTGATGGGAATGCAAAGGACACTAGCTGAATAAATATTTTATCCATTCTTTTGATGAAATATGTTAAAATGGTTACCCTAAGTAAAATTTCTTCTCTCTTCCTTTTTCTTTCTTCTGTAAGTTATAAAGTACATGTGGCTTTTTGCACTATGGAAAACTCATAAATTAAAAATGAAGAATTGGCCTCAGTATATCAGACCATTAGAATGAATGATGTTTGCTATCTTGACAAAGCAGTGGCCAGTTGGACATATATATGATGTAAATAAGAGAAAGGCAGGATATGTTTAAAGATCTCTGTAGATGATCAATCTAATTTGTGAATTACGAGAAGTCATTACACAGAATACTGCTATTATTATTGGACATACAGTTACCTCTTTGCTTTATAAATGCAGCCACACCATAACTCCGGCTTTTATAGACTGCATGTTTGTTTGCTCCTCTTTTCACATGTAGTCTTTGTTTTTCCATCATGTGATAAGCTAAACAATTTCACAAATATTTATTAGGGTTTAATTCCCCCACAGGCTTGTAGTTGCAAACACAAAAGTGTGTATAAATTTCTATGCATAATCAATCAGTTCACATAGTTGTACTACAGACACATTCATATATCCATATATGATATTGTAAATAGCAATCTGAAAATAGATACAGCTGATGAAGACTGACAAGGAATTAAATGTTTTGACTTTAAGCTCACTGGAATGCACTCACCAAGACAGAAAATGTCATGTTAAGACTATCTTCCTGTACTGCCTGAAAGGAAAAAAACATGCTGCAAAGATAATTAGGAGCTGTAAGACACTAGATACTAAAATGAATACTTCATTGATACTAAGCTACAGTCCTCAAGATCCGTGAAACTTCTCTCATCGACGTTTATTAAAACATTTGAGTTGTAATAAAGAAATTCCTTCTGACTTGGTTTATGGATATTTTAGATTTTATATTGCATGATAAGGAATAAAAGACAAACTATGATTATCTGAGAAATGATACCACTGTGGAAAGCATTTTGATGACTGTAAACTTCCCCATATCACAGAATCATAGAATGGCTTGGGCTGAAAGAGATGTTAAAGCTTTCCTTGATGCCATCTTCTAGATCAAGTTGTCCAGGGCCCCATTCAACCTGGCCGTGAGCATCTCCAGGAGTGGGGCATGCACATCTTCTCTGGGCAATTGGCTCCAGTGCCTCACCACTCTCTGAGTAAAAAAAAAAATTTAATATCTAAACTAAATCTCCCTCTTTCAGTTTAAAGACATTTCCACATGTTCTATATGCCTGGGTAAACTGTTGGTCTCCCTCTTGTTTACAAGCTCCCTTTAAGTTCTGGAAGGCTGCAATGAGATTTCCTCAAAGACTTCTCCCGACTAAACAAGCTCAACTACCTCAGCCTTTCCTCACAGAAGAAATGCTCCAGCCTTCTCATCATTTTTGTAGCCCTCCTCTGTACTTGCTCCAACAGCTCCACTGATGATTTCCTCATATCCAAGTTTTGGTTATCTGAACATCAGGAATCCTACAGGCCAACAGTACCAATGCTTTGGCAACACCTTTCAAATAGTACAGAAAAATATCTTCAAGTAAATCTTGATTTGCCCAGATGTGATATTCTTCCTTAAAGATAGTAGGGGAAAAAAAAAAAAAAAAACAAACAGGTAAGTGAACTCTGCAGAATCAGTTATTATGAAACATAGATTCAGATCAAATGTTTCGTGAAGCTCAGATGAAGAAATGGACTAGGAGAATGAGATAAGACTGCCAAATATGCTTTTAGAGGACTGAAATCTTAATGGAATCCCACTGTTCTGTCTAGGCTTCGAGTTTTGACATGTAACTTACTTGAAGTTAAAGTTGAGCCTCCCTTGTTGTTAGTCATTATTCTTCAGAAGTTAGGCTTTCACTGTTCTGAGGAAGGTTGTTGCCACTTAGCATACGTGCATGAAAAACTACGAACAAATCATTTTGCATTGTGATAGAATAGCTGAGGATCAAGAGACTGTGTAACTGTTCTGAATAATAGCAATACTCACTTTGGGGAAGGAAGAAATGCAGGCACCCTGAATAGGTAATCTTTCTGAGAAAAGAATACTTCTGCTAATGTGATGGCTTTCTGTAGACTAGTAAATTAAATAGTGCCTGGAAATATTATTGGGTTCTGGAATAAAAATACACATAGCATGCAACATTGTTTGATTGATATCTGACAATTTTGATTGGTCGGTGCCAAGTAGCACCGTCTCAAACAATTCATTGGCTCAGTTTGGGAGTTAGCAAGGGACAGGTTCCATTCTCAACAGACAGATGAAACAAAGACAGTCACTTTTACCTAGAGGAGATGTTATGAATGTGGATGATTGCAGCAGAAGGAATAAAATCCAGACAACAGTGGTAATTGAGTTTAATTTAGTTATCTAAATTAAAAGTGATAACAAAATACTGTCAAAAGGGAAAAAAAAGAGTTTAAATAGAATCTTAAGGGGCCTTCTGCAACTCAATTTTAAACAGTTATGATAGAAATAATGTGTAATAAAAGGAACCTTTCAAGGAAGTCTGTCCTGGTAGACAGTAAGTACTTCAGTTTTTCGATTGCACTCAAGTTATGGGCGCTTATAAATGGATAATAGCATGACGTGCAGTGAAAATTTTATTTTGCATGGGGTTGATATCAGCTAAGGAAGAACATTTTTACAGTATGTCTAGCAATTACTAGTGTTTTAAATTTTCGTATTCTGTATCATATTCT